GACAAGTTGTTTCGATATTTATGTAACATGGGAAAAACCCGCAAAGAAAAGGGGCATAACTCGTCTATGCTTAAATGTGCATGTGTGCACAACTGTTGTTGTTGGAAGTCCATGACAATGTCAACAATCCGTTTTCGTTGTGTTTCTGTCATGACTGACCAAGTCTTTCCCACCCTACAGGTGAAATACGAACTGAATGCTTACAGTGGACAACATATACCTACAGCGAACTAATACTTACAGCGAACTAAATACTTACACTGAACTGAATACTTACAATGAACTGAATACTTACACTGAACTAAATACTTACAGAGAACTAAATACTTAAAGGCTAAATTGCAATTCATAAGAAATTATAAATTATGGAAAGGACAAAATACCTCCACACTGTTTGTTATGTATTCTACCATGAATTTGGAATTTACTCGATTCTGATTGGTCAATCAGAGGCTATTAAATCACGATAAACCCCCTCTGATTGAAACAGCTGGTTTGACGGCCGCTTCACCGCGGAAGCTAATATTCGTAGAATGGTTCTATTTTCAGTCATTGTCGGTAGGCGTATTTAAATAATTATATCTGCAATTACAGGTTACAAAATGCACAGATGCGGTTAATACAATATACAAAGGGTGTGTGGCAATACATTTTGTGCAGTAAAACACGACAGAAATCAACAAAGGGAATGTATTTACGTTTTGGAGACAACAGAGAGCTTGGAATTTTGGCGCTTTTCTATATATGACTGTGACGTCATATCTTTTGCGTCACAATGAGCGGCATGACGTCATAATGGTGACGTGCGATGTAGAGCGAAAGCCTTGCAAAGCTTGCTTTGTTTTCTTTACGGATGCCCACATGTTTGCTTACCAAGTTGCCGTGCTTATATGCTTTCAATGCCTGTCATATGTTCGATTGAAGTATTATAAACAAACTGCTTGAGGATATACAGCACCATATTTTTTTTTCGGTGATTCCGTAATTCAGATCGATAACGCACTCAAAACACTGAACTCAACCCATGACGCTTCACTCAGTATATTTGCTAACACCAAAGAGTTCGCATTTTATTTGCGCGTTCGGTTCCAAATTCAATTTAGCGGGGTTAAATCTCCAGGTAACCTAGCTCTACATTGAAAACACAGTATGTTTATCTCCTAAATATTCAATGTAAGATAATGTAATGAAATTACAGTCATCGTACAAGTATGTAACGTAAATCTCTCACCAAACTAGTGTGTTCATGGTACATCTATCACACAAAGGTTCCAAACAATAATGAAATCTAATTTTGTTTGTTCGTAAATACATGAATGTTAATGTTTTAAGATTATATGTTATTTAATACATCGACAAAATGAGGTCATGATCGTTTGACAAACTAATACCAACATGCTACACCAAGTACTACCGAGTAATTAACTCGCCATTACCACAATGTCATCAAACAATTTACGGCAATCATCAAATGAGAACTACACCAAAACCTCCCAAAACCTACTTCATACGCCAAAAGGGGGAATTACCGATAAAGTCCCTTTGTTATGATGCCCAATGTTATGTTATTTGTTATGAGTCCGTGTCAACAACTTTCACACACCATGGTTCAACGTCAATCACGGAGTAAAACAGGGCTGTTTGTTGTCACCGCTATTGTTCAACTTGTTCATAAATGACCTGATAATGATGATCAGTGCCATGGGACGAGGGGAAGTTGTGGACGGTGGATCTATAAACGTTTTAGCTTATGCAGACAACATAGTTCTACTGACCGCATCTGAATAGGATCTCAATCAACTGTAAGATTCGAACCCTCAATCATAGGTTTCTGGTGTGATAGCTTCATGAAGCTTGGTCCAACACACTTGCCAACCCTACCTTGCCTGGTGAAATCACTGCACATGAACTGTGTCCGCAATACTATGACAGACAAATACACCAATTAATGGAGTAAAGGTCTCGACAGGATAACATATCACGGAGGGGCGGGAAGAAATATACTACGAACGTATCGACTTTTAAACAAGACAATTTAACAGAATTCTATCTGACCTGCCCACTTATGATTACTCTACCCGACTTAAGATCTTACGACAAATTTAGATGCGGCGAAGCTCCCCTGAGAATAGAAACGGGCCGCTATGAAAATACACCATATGATAAAAGAACATGTTTGACTGTATCGTATGAATGTGTTATTGTAATGTGTTATTGTAATGTCCTTTATTTAAGAAAAAAAGACGAGCGGGAGTTGTTTAAAGGGGGAGGGAGAATAAACCATGAGTGGCGATTATCAGTATTATGTAAAACCTCTTTAAAGATGATGGTGAAAATTAATGTAAAAGCTTTATAAATATCTACCCGTATTTTAATAATGATGACACTCTCAATTGAATCCGACCCCGGAAATGTCGGACAAGTCCATTTTCTGCACAGGTGGGTATTCCCGCATATCCTCACAATTCTCACGTCGATTATCTGTACCTTTTCTCTCAATACTGATTGGCATATCTCTCCCGCTTTTGGATGTGATCGTTCGGCCATCGCGTTTGTCTGCGTTGCCCAGCTACATTAATGGAGAACATTCAATAGGCATTACCCTCTCACAAATAACGTCTTCCAATGTACGACGTCATCAAGTTGCGAGCGCATGTTCGGATCTCCAGAAATGACGTCATGACAGAACAATGTTTTATCGTGAAATAAACCAAGCTTCGTTCTTCATTGTTCTTTGCGATTTATCGCGTAGCTATCTTATATGCACGGATATTGTAGAGATAAACTTATACAAACGTGTGTTTTATTATCACCAAATTTTATTCATATGACTTTAACACACAAAAAATGTGCATATTTTTACAAACATGTCAAAGCTCACCTTTCACATCGCCAGCACCTGTTTTGACATGTCTCTCAAAAGAAGAGCTAATTTATATAAATATGAAGTTTGTTTTTAAGATGTATAATATATGTTCTCATTAGTAGCATGTTATTGCTTCTCATAAATTGTTGTGCGATTGGTCATGATAAACCTGTAAACATAGATCTTTTACGAACTGTACTGATCATTTATCCGTTGTTTCATGAGTGAGACGTTAATGAAGACATTCTGTCTGTCTGTAGCCCGAATATTCACTGCGGAGAAAAACAACAAACAATTGAAACGTAAAATACGTGAATATGTTATGTCACCATCCTGATAATTACTCCAGGTTTTCAATTTAATAAGATTGATAACAACTTTTGATAAATCCAATGAAATCATTTACATTATTGAATTTTCTGTCTCTTTTGACACTAGTGTGATTGACAAGATTGAGGAAAAACATGGCAAATATGCGGACCTCGCTTTCGAAATGTCACGCTTGCATCCCAAGTACCAAGTTGTCCGATTCCCCATTGTTCTCGATGCCTTAGGTTTGGTACCTCCCAATCTGTTGACTGACATTGGAAGAGTACCAGTGCTTGGTACCAGGAATACAGCCCTCCTGACAATCTGTGTAAATCAGGACGCTGCAGTGTTGTGGAGTCTTCACATTTTCCGAAGGGTTCTGGTTGGTTTGACTAGGCAGGGCTTCCTGAGAGAAGTCCCATTCGCTGTCTGGGCTGCGTATAGAGGGGGCAAGGGCCCTGAGCTGATGATGAGCCTAACCAGTCTGACTGTGCCAGGATCACCCAAACCCTTTTTTGCTGCATTTTTTATTTTAATCTGTTAATGATAATAATCAAAATAGTCCATTTGTATGGCGCACATATCCATGCATAGTCCATGCTCAAAGCGCATAACCAATGACTGAAACATTGTAAGCATTTTTCTTTCATATTACCGTTCTATTTAATTCAGGTTATGCTATGGATAAAGGTGATTGCGTGTAGTCGTAGGTATCTATGGCAATTACCCAGCTGTCTTGTAGCTATAAAATAACAAGGGATATTGCTGACTGTGGTATTAAACTCACTCACTCAAATACTTTTCCATTATTTTTTATGAATTTCAGTTTAGCCTTTAAGTCTTTAGTTCGCTTTAATTAAGTATTTTATTTGTTGAGATGGGAAATGTTTTGTAAGTTGTAACGAAACACCACGAAAACGTTCTTTGTCATACACACATGACGACATCATAATTCAAACTGCATACATGAACATATAAGCCTAGACGAGTTATGCCCCTTCTCTTTGCGAGTTTATTTACATCTCCGCGATGTCTTGATTGTGATACCTGAACATCGATACAACTTGTCTTTTCATGTTGTAAATAATTCTCAAACCAATATTCGGCATCCGGATCGATAATCGTGCCTGGTAACATTGATCTCGAATGGATCGCAACAGGAACCCCGATCAGATCGTTTTGTAAGTTGATGAAGAGACTTAATAATTTGACCCACATAACGCCATCATTCGTGACCAACTTGCGTTATTACGGGACAAGCCGAATAGCGACTCGTGTCCCTCTCGTGGTCATTTTTACGACTGGGTTCCGTCTAAGCCCAAAGGGGCCTAGTTAAAAGAATTGTCAACTCGTTGCGTTCTGATTCACGTATATTTCCCCATTGTCATATATATTCCAGATACTATTTACACATATCGGGGCTTACTGTAGTTAGGCAGTGACGAATGATAACGCAATAACGGTTGCGTCGACGTCTTGACACTCACTCCATCCTTTTGAATTCAACCATATGGTTATGTCAATACTTCATACATTGCCCATATTGTTTGATATCGCATAGGGTTTATCCTTCATATTTGATCATCAGGCGTTTTTATGACAATATTTACAATAGACCTGGCACTCCGATTAATACGAAGCTTGAGGTGAATACACGTCCTTATATCTTCTATCAATACCCGAGCTTGCTTTATTAGAAACTTTGCTATAGCCAAGCATATGCCACGATCACAGATGTTGCATAATATGATTCTTCTCTTTGTAAGCGTTTGTATTACAATGAAGGATGAACTCCATTTCCTTCAGGATCCAATGGAGTTGGAGCTTCTGACGAGTCGACTTCGGACATGTACATCTCCGAGAAGTCATCTCAGTAAATTGATCACCGGCAAGATGCGGTTGGAGAAGGGTAAGTACAATGTCGTAAACTCTAAAGGTTGGATGCGCTGTAAAAAAACTGACATGTAAGCAAATGAAAATAACAACTTGTCACTTTGTCACAAGCAACGAGTTTTACGTTGGACTTAAGCAGCATCTTTGTGTAGATGAATAAAGAGATTGTCGTCCGAATGTTTTTCCGTGTCGTAAATGTCACACGATAGACATAATGTTGGTCTTTTGCGAGGCTTTGGCGACGACAATTCATACATTTTATATTCCTGAAATATGTTGTTGTTTTGTTGTTTAACGTTTCACTTAGCAATATTCCAGCTATATTAAGCGGTCTGTAAAAAATCGAGTCCAAACAATGCATTGTCGGATTTGATTTACATGAGCATCTTATGACAAGCCTGGGTTGCAGAATACCGAACAGAACCCGGATCTACAGGGATTTCCAAATATATGATACGATACCACACACCTCTTTATCATGTAGATGTCATTTTTCATTATAATCGTTTAAGACGTACATAGTGTATTTCACTTAATGAAGTAGCATTATGTATTCGAACAGGTATGAGATCACTGCTGGAGTTGTGACGATCCTCATGTAGGGTAAAGTGCCAAATTAAATTACTTGCAGCCCTAGTGCTTAAAGAAACATCATCCCTGTATATGGAAATAGCTGTGTAATCTTACTGGTAACTCGACATCACATCGATGTACAAGGCTTAGTGGATGAAGGTCCTTTTTGATGTTCTCATTGGTATATTGGAATAGTTTCCAGCCATTTTATGACGGAAACATAGGAAACGTCGAGAGATACAACATACATGAAGCTTCAGTTAATGTCAGTTATTAAATATCAAAATCCAACATTCGATCTTAAAACAAACTGATTATATGAACAAACTGAGACGAGAACAAGCAACACGAATGCATGGCAAATTTATGAACATAATTACGTACGGTAAATTGCTAAAGAATGAGAGAAATTAAATCTATAATATTTAGACTATTTCCCTGTGGGACCTGACCAGTTCAAAAGAGGCCAGCAGAAAACTCTATTCGATACGAATTCGAAAGTCCTTCGGCAGGCAATTCCATAGCATTTGAATTTATCCCGATTTTTTACATTTTTACCCGGTGATAATATCTCCACATTAAGCACCTGGCCAAGGGAATAGGTCGATAGTTCTAAATCTATCATTTTTAGAAAATAAAAGGGTGTTAATTTGTTAAATTTTATAAAACATCTTTCTAAAGACCACAAATTATTTATACTCATTCTATATACTTTTGTAAAGGGCGGTTGAGTAGCCTAGTGGTTAAAAGGGGTCGCTTGTCACGCCGAAGACCCAGGTTCGATTCCCGACATGGGTACACTGTGCGTAGCTGGTGTCCCCAGCTGCCGTGATATTGCTGGAATATTGCTAAAAGCGGCGTAAAACATACTCAGTTAGTTCTATTGTTAGGATAAAATTACTCTATCCCACCTCATCCCTTTGTACCACTTGATTCATACATTGCACTCAATATTTCTCCAAAGTGAATAGACCCGTAAAGATTCCGGGGTAGAATAGGTCTTCAGCAACCCATGCTTGCCGTAAAAGTTGACTCTGCTTGTCGCAAAAGGCGACTAACGGGATCGGGTGGTCAGGCTCGCTGACTTGGTTGATGCATGTCATCGATCCAGATTGCGTGGATCGATGCTCATGATATTAATCACTGGATTGTCTGGTTCAGACTCGATTATTTACAGACCGCCGTCATATATCTGGGATATTGCTGAGTGCGGCGTTAAACAACAAACCAACCAACCAAATCCAAAGTGAATAAGTTCAAACAGAGGCGTAAAACCATTTACATTTTGATATCTTGAAATATTCAAAAGGCGCTCATTTATATGGTAGGAATGACGTTATCCTGTTTCTCGATGGGATACAGTTTGTCAAAGGAAACCATAGTATACAATTTTACAGTACATCAACGCTGAGTACACACCAGGGTTACAAAAGTAATAAACATAATGAGACATAGCCAGAACCGGACTGCGAGTTCGACACAACCAGTGATTCGACATATCCGAGTTCGAGCCAACTGGATTCGACTGTATCGAATTTGTGTTTCCACTCACATTCGTGACTCCTGTGATTCCCGCGGATAACGTGATCATGTTTGTTTCAGCTTCATCTCGACGCCCCGTCCCTGCGATGCACTGTGTCGTGATATTGCTTGCTCTCATGATACCAGCTGTAATATCCAGAGCAGGAATAATTTCAATGAAACTCCAACCTGATTTATATGGTAAATTGAGTCAGCAAGATGTATCAATAAGTTGATTTTGAAGTTTTAATTGTATGCTGTATTTCCAAAGAGTGTTTGCATTTAGCCAGTGGTTAATGTACATCACATCGGCAATATTACAACGATAAAGTCGGATAAGGTGTTATACAGCTGTAATAATACCATATTTCTTATATTTGGCGTTATTGTTATTAGGTGAGGTAAGGTGAAATGGGGTTTAACGTCGCGTCCAAGATTATTGCACTTACGAGTAGCGACGTGCATGCACGTGTATGTGTGTGGCTGCTTGTACTAGTCCGGACTGATGCCGATTTATAGTGCTAGCACACTGAGATACCATGCCGCAGTTTAACATGAATACCCCACTCAGACACAGTATACTGACTCCGAGCCGACCAGTCCTTGTTTTAGCCCCTTAATGCCGAGCGCCAGACAGGGTAACAACAAGTACCATCTTTTAACGTCTTTTGGTATGACGCGGCTGGGGATCGAACCGGGAACTTCCGCTCTCCGGGCGGACGCTCTACCATTAGACCACGGAGGCAGTCCGTTATTGTTATAAGGTGATTTTACAACCAGGTATATAACGTGGTTATAGGACTGAAATACTGAGCCCTTCCCTATTCCTTACGAATAGAGTGATAGACGTTAATTCTTTATATTGTTTTTAATTTGAAGTTGACACGATATACGGCTTTTTCCATTGGACGAGAAGTCGATCACATGACCGCACAATTGACGTTCATAAGTGTATGCACGACACAAACTGTCGTTCATACGTTTTTAACGAGACCGTGTTCTTGAAATGACGTAAACACTGACGGACTACTTCCACATTCCTGGAGAAACCCCTAGGAATTCCCTAGCAAGAAAACATACATGAGCGTTCTTTCTGATCATTTAGAACCTTTATTCTTGGTCTCAGAGTTTCAGTATACATTGAGAAATGTCAGAGAGCGTGACTGCATGATTGTTCACGAATATCCTCGCTACGGCCTATCCTAATGAACAAACAAAGAAATGCACATCTAAACTATCGTAGTATCGACTCGATCCATGCCTAGGCTGACATTGACCGTCTCCAGCAATCTATGAATTTACTTTTGTGTCTGTTTGACGCATCTTTATTCACCTTTCAATGATCGGCCAGTTGATCAATGATGACTTACACATGTAACCGCCCCAGGTTCATTAACAACTTCGGAAATCTCTCACGTCACGTTTATCGTGTCGGCCATTTTGACGTCTTGTACTTGATGTAAATGTATTACGACGCGCTGTCATTGTGACTGACTTACTGAGGTAGTTCTTTACAGACCTTTCTCATCTAATGAGGATACGATTTGCACACATGTGCTGCGTAAGATGTTTCTGAAGAGCAAGTTGTGCATATCCATACGCCCATGTCACCTCTCTTTTTGAGGAACTATTTTACTCTGCGATATAGCTGGTTGTTGTATGGCTGTCAGTGTAAACATGAAGTCACACGTACTAAATAAAATTGTGTTTAGATCTTGGCCTACATCCTTTGAGGTAAGAAATTGTGATAAAAATTTTATAAGAAATGACTTTCACTCCGACGTTCATATAGTTTGGCCCTCACTCTATGAAGGTTCATTCTCCAATGAACTCACACAAAGTAAAAGTCAATTCTTAAGTAAAAATAGATGCCAGGGTACAGGGACAGGGACAGGCGATCAGCCAGGTACTCGACTTCTTATCCCGAATCCTCACAGGACGAGACACAATTCGTTACAGTATTAATTTGTAATGTTTCAGCTCAAATTGCGTACTCTTTGAACGATGAAGGATGCGATATAAATGGCACGACGAAGAGCTATGGCGGAGAGTTCAGTCTGGACATCACGGGGCCGTGTGTCACCTATCTCTGTAGCACCACCGGTGTCAGCATGAAGGAAGGCGCAGGTGAGACCGTGCAGCAACCCATCACATGTTAGTTTGTGCCCTGTGGTATAACAACATCCTCTGTTTCTTACCGTTGTGGTACAGCTGGATGCATGGGGGGGGGGGGGCCTAAATCAATCTGGAGAGTTACGCCCATTTGGCGTGTCAGGAACCTATGACCGTTGGTTCGAGTCTTCGATTAAGGTTTCCCAAATTGGTAAAAGTAGGCCTCAGCAATTTGGGCTCTCCTCCCACGTATTCTCACTGACATTATGTTAATATCATTACCCAAAGCGGTGTTAAACCAGACACATTCACATATATAACCCTGTGCTCCAAGACTCGGTATATCACAGGTTGATATTCTCGTTTTATAAGCACCATATACCTGAAGCTTATATCACCCTAAACGAATAGCGTTAATTTGGGTGTTGCTCTAACATTGTAATTGACACACTCTGATCTACATGGACTGCTGCCAAAGCGTTGCTAAAAATGTAATTTCCATTGGGACCCTCCTGTATATTCTTCCCGTTATCAGGCTGCATGGGAGAAGATGGTTGTGTGGCGGGACTGGAACGGTATGGTTGCCAGGCATTCGTGTGCAAGAACTCGGGCCACACATTCAATGGGAAAAAGTACATGTGGATCGTCGACACCAATGCTAAAGGTATGCTTTTCAAAAATGTTCATCTGTGTGTTCGCATCCTTGTTCACGTGCAATTCGTCATTTACAGTTGGAAACTACCTGCAAGACTGATACCAAATATGCACTTTGCACCACAATATAAGTGTTATTTTCTGAAAGAAATCAAACAATTGACTGGGTTGAATAACATAAACTGCTCTACAAAAATGATTAAACTGTCTTTTTACTTCCATTTTGGCTTTATTGTCATACCAACAGACTGCATGTTACGAGGTCCAAACACGAAAGTGTTATAAGGAAACGTGCTAGCACTCTGTCACAACAAACCTTCAATACATGTTTTGAGGTTTAGTGGGTCAGCAAGGGGCTTATGAAGTAATGTTTTAGTCCTGGTTCAATAATGCCATGATTGTAATTTGAAACTTCTGATCATGATTGCCCAGCAGAATAGAATTGTCATGGTATATTGTACAGGTGAGTGATTTGCCCTGTTTCAGAGCAATGTGGGATACTAGACGAACAGAACTGCTACGAGCTGGACAAATGGTACATGGTGCTCAACTTCCAGTGTATGTGTGAGTCCACTACAGAGGTGGTGTGCAGTTTGAACGAGCAGTCCAGCACTCCTGCTGCTGTCGCGAACACTTCTGATGACATTGTCTGACCCTTCATCCACATCCAGAACCACTGGGTCTTATGCAGCTCGACTAATAATCTGTTGCCAGGATAACTGTGTTTCATTATCCAATCCCTCATAATCCATATTTTTTAAGTCAAATGGTATTTTGGATATTTTATCAATGTTCGATAGGACATTTTCATGGTTTTATCAACTTGGAACATTCATCCATGTCATTACCTAATCTTAAAACATTTCATCTTAAGACGTATTAAGATGATTTAAATTACTTGGTGATTGAAAAGTCCTCCTGGAAACAGATGGCAATTAAAAGCGTTTCACTGACAATTTACTATTGAAAACCTATCCTTCACTAGACAACTGTATATGCATTCATATCGATAATCAATCCTGGCTTTCTCGTGTTTCTGATTTCCTTCTAATGATGCTGACTCCTTTTTGTGAACGCATTTCTAGTATACTGGACACAAGTCATCATCTGAACAAATGAATTATTATTGATCGATATCAACGCGTTTGTAAACTCACGTATTTCAAGTCCACATAACCAAGGCTGTTTTCATTCACATGTGTTAAGGTGTCGTGAAAAATAAAAACGTCTACTGCGATTTGTTTTAGCTGGAAAAAGAGTTGTTTATTGAGGTAAAGCTCGGTGGATACATTTGTTGTTGATCAGTACGTTTTCCTCTGGAACTGATCATGATGTGTCTGAACACAATTTAGAGGTTCAGTCCCATCTTACAGACAGGACCACCTCCGTTGTCTAGTGGTTGAGCGTCCGCCCGGAGAGTGGAAAGCCCGGGGTTTGATCCCCGGCCGCGTCATGCCAAACGACGTAACAGGATAGTACATGTTGTTACCCTGCCTGGTATTCGGCACTGAGGGGCTAGATATAGTTAGTATACTGTGTCTTAGTAGGGTATTTATGCTAAAGTGTGGCATGGTATCTCAGTGGGCTAGCACTACAAAAGTCGGCATTAGTCCGGGATAGTACAAGCAGCCACATACACACACGTGCATGCACGTCGCTGTATAAGTGCAATAATCTTGGACGCGACGTTACTCCCCATATCACCTCACCTCTGAGTATGACTGCGGTGATCATCTTTATACCATAGGGACGTGCTTGAGACTGATGTGAACCTTACCTCATCGCATCGTGTTTAATGTAGAAGAAAATCCAATAGGACGCACCTCGAAGACTTCAGCAGACATTTGTGCATGTATGATGCTGTGACACCATGGGTCATAATCGGGTACAATTTTGGATTCAAATGACCAGTGGATCTTCACTTCTAGCTGTTACTTCTCAGCACAGTCTATTGCGACGTCTTAAACAACTTGTGAAACCGGACCAGCGACATGTCGACAAAAACTGTCAGCTTTTCTATTTCTAATATACATTAATGATAACGAAGTCAGCGTTGCTTCCAAAGATGGTAATACCTTACTCAAGCAACTTTCCCGAAACGTCGCATTGAATAATAAAGACGTGGCGTCAATAAGATATCTTTGTCTTCGTTAATACTTCTTCAGTTGACCTTGGGTGTTATTTGAGGGTATGTGGAATATATGCGTGATGCATACAATTCATGAAACAAACACTGACGCTTAAATTCGACCATATGTTTTATCTTGTTTGTTTCCCAGATTCTCCAGCCTAACATATTTTATAAAACTAATTATAGTTTATTACATTCATTATAATATTATGCATTCATTTTGCAGATGGCTAAATATCTCTAAAGGAAGTCGATTTTGAAAACTGTTTCTTGGTGCTATGTGCATAATTATAACATTGTGTACGATAAAGATTAGATACACCTCCACAGCCAAAGCAACCAACAGTGTATGAGAAACCTCATAGTGGTATATGTTGGAATTGCCAGACATGGGTACGAACAATAATCCAGGCAGGCGTGTTGAAAAATAACCATTGTGCTCCAAGGCGTTACGAAGGATGTTTAGGCCCTTTCATTGTTCATAACCCTGAAGCAAATAATACCGTTCAGCTTGGGCTATTATATATAGTACCCGTTGTAATTTTAAGTAAGCAAATGAAGAAGATTGCATTGGTCAGGGCATATCTCATTGTTTCCCAACAATGTGACCTTTGCTGTGACCTTCATAGACAACCACCTCTGTCTAAACAAGCACACACAATGCAACATTCACATCTCGCCCTGCCACGTTACGGCTTCAATTTAATCTTAATGTAATCCAACGGGCTCTTAACCGGCATCGTTAAAAGAGAGCGCAGTGTATGGTGTGGCTGTACCGCGATGTTAATTTCAACATCCTATGATTTATGTATCAACATCGACATAATGTGTACAGCCTTGAATACCATTTCTTTGTTAAAGTAATTTTACGTGACCGCTGTAAACTATTTCAATTAAAATCAATCGCGGCATCCGTGGATTTATATGTCCATGTGTCAGCATTAAAATGTGAATGTGATTGATTCGATATCGAATTACTCTGTGTCGTAATCCATCCGTTGCTGTCATTATTGACTTTGTGTCACTTTCTTACAATTTCAAGCTCATGCTCTGACGTCGTAAAAGTTTGTCGATAGTTGACATATTCCACTCGTATGATTGATCAGTCTCGTCTCTGGAATAAAGTTCTTCAGTTAGAAGCTTATTTTAATCCACTGACACTAAACCCAATCTACTCTCTTCTACCTGCTGTCGTGTAAAACTATCCTCGACTATCTGCTGTATGATACTAGTATCTACATTCTACTCTGATACATAGACTCACCGCCATATCTTCATCATTCGAATAGTATCACGCTAAGGATAGCAGATGAAACAAATATAGAAAAAACTGCTATGGCGGTGAATGGGTCGAGAGTATTTATCAAAATACATGTATATATAATACACTGCATGATCGAGGATGGTTGAACACATTCTGTTAATAACGGTGGAGTGCTGGGATCTCAATTTATTCCATTGCTTCATATCCATATTTAATGAACTGTAGTTTTGACAAATACCAGCAGAACATGATACACGACAGTTTCTTGTACACGGTTTATGTGGTATACATGGCTACGTAATTATTTCTACGTTATCATCTTGGCCATTCTCAGTCATTACGACATTTTTCGGGTCGATCATCAACAAAGCGTTTGGCCATTTATAATGCATGTACATGTACGGTGGTCTTATAGGTAGATTTAAACAATATTGAAATCCTAGTCGTTTACACCAATTCAAATTTCAGCGTCACAGTATATTTGAATAAAGTATGTAATCAATATCGACATTTAAAGAACATTTATAAAGCCATCATCGTGAAAAAAGTTTCATCGAATATTTTGATAGTATCCTCGTAGATATGTCAAATGAATATCCCTGCATGTCTATCCATGATATTCGCAAAAGGACAATTTCTAGCACCTTTGACCTACCACGAAGCCAAATGCTACGACAGTGAATATAACGTTAACGTGGGGGCTTTTCGAAGAGCCGGAGATGACATTATACTAGGATTCTGTAAACACAGGGTGTATGCTTCACTGAAACCATGATGTGGTATCTTTGTTTCCATATCGATACATAATTCACATGTCCTGCACATGTTACACCTCTGTTCAACGTGTCCCCCACAGGGTTACCGTCGTTAAGATTGACGATGCCTGAAATTCTAAAATGTCCTACATTGTAATCTCGCTCCTTACTCCCACGTCTGTCTACCTGTGTCATATAAAGGCCAGGATTACTGAGGCCCCGTCAGTAACGACACACCAGAGACGACAACGTCATCTACCCCGGTAGGTATGACATGTGCTTCTTTGTTGCTCATACTAAATCGGGGACTTGTTTTCTACTTGGGGAAGCTCCATGCCACCGTATTAAATGGTGGATAACACTGCTTACAAAATGCAGCTCACGCTATTGTCTTTAGTGGGATTCTTTATTAAAGTTGACTCATCGCCAGAGACAACTTGGCAACGTGAGTTCTTCAGTGTCAAAATTGGTGCTTGAGCAATTCGAAAGTCAATCTCCACACAAAAGGGTTACGACTGTTCACCATGAAATATTTACTTGAATAGTGAATAATAGTTCATCCGTTTATTTTCTAACAATGAACCCTTGAGTGGCTTCTTGAAAAAATACTCGATTGCGTGGACTCTTGCAGAAAGCTTAGGTGTTAAAAACCTCGTGCTTATAAGATTGCTTTTAAAGATAACATTGGTATAACATTGATGGATTGATAACATGATTTGAAGCCATTATTTGTTCTCGTCGCTATATGCCTGAAACAATACCGATGAAGTGTAACATTTTTTAGTAGCTAATAAGATAAACTTGAGGGTCAATTAGCATGCTTCATTTGACGCAAAAAACATTTAACACTTTCCCAGGACATACATATAGTAAGCCGAGTCACCGTGAAAGACATGCAACTCATGATTGCATCAACTTGATTCTATGACAAGTAATAATTTTGCCTCATTTCATGATCTGCCATGAACAATTATACATTTTTCATATATATATTTTTTTCAAAAATAGATGATATCTGCTTCACATCCAAACATGTATGTGTATACGTCGATATTGGTGGTAACATTATACATGCACCTTAGATCCACCTCCGTGGTGGATGAGGGTTTGTTGGGTCCCCGACCGCGTTACACCAATGTACGTCAAATATAGGTACTTTTCGTTACCCTGCCTGGCTAGGGACTTGTCGGCCCGAGGACATATTCATGCAAACGTACGCACATACACACGCACACACGAACACACACACGCACGCACGCACGCACTCACGCACGCACATGCGTGCATGCCCGTCGCTATATTAGAGCAATAATCCTTTCTTAACTTGGCGTTACAGCAAGAACATTGAAACGTCATCATGAAAATGAGACTTCTTCTCTTCTTGGGATTGTTAATCCACTTGGCCTACACCGAGACAACAGAGGACACTACTGAAAACACTACCGAGGACAATGCCGAGGACAATACCGAGGCCACTACTGAGGCCACTACCGAAAACACTACAGAAGACGGTAACATTGGCGACACCGAAGACACAACTGAAGACGATACCGAGGACACAACAGAAGACGGTAACATTGGCGACTTTTTTACCAGCCCCATATTCTGAGAATAGACGTACCTTGATGTATTAGGATGGAAGTATATATATCTCAATAATACTGATCCGCAACCTTGTGGCATCGATGTATAAACATATGTTCTCGAGTTTATTCTCACGCCCTTCATATTTATTCATTAAATATATGATTCATTGTCTTCTGCTTGTGCCTTCACGATGAGCTGTATGTCTTGTTTAATAATTATTTACCTTTTTATTTAAAAAGTGTGCGCTCTAATATTCATTTTCATTTAAAGATGATGTCACAGATGACACCACCGAGATGACCGCGTTCCCAGCAGCCACTGAACCACATAAGGGGGATCCCGACCTGTCGGAAGAAGTGTATGACATGGAATTCCAATAGCATCGTCCATACAACAACCTTTTTCTACCGCAGCGGTAACATGTGTCTGAGTCAACAGCGGATGGAAAAAATTGTTTCTTATGTGTCATGCTGCTTACTTTCCGTTAAGTATCAATAAAGTTCTTAACAAGCATGAATAATGACTTCTTATATCTGTGAGCGAATCTGAGCTGTGTACTATCACAGCAATAACACAAGCCTGGTCATATATGTGCGCAGGCGCTGTAAGATAAATGTAACAAAACAAGTGATGGTTACAGACTATCTCTAATAAAACAATCAGAAATTTGTAAATTAATATCTGTTAATTTATGGTTTTAAAGTTTTGTCAGTACGTTCGGGCACATGGGATCATCAATTCATTCACAGGCATTTCATTTGTAGGTCATTCTGCCTCAATGGAAAGTACATTGACACTAAATGAGTATATGCTCATATTGTAGAACATTATAATGTATTGACATGGGAAAACAGTTGATAATTGAACAGTCACTTCTCGCCATTTCTGGATTCATAATGTTGTTAGCTGTACTGCCCGGACTGCATAAAACTTCATCATGAGACGTACTGGTATTGATTTGTTTTGACACAGGTAACACATCGTAGCAACATGTGTGACATTCAGACACAACGTTGTCATTCAACGCGGCTGCCAGGTACTGATGCGGTCGTATAATATGATGTTACAGTGTGTATTCCCGAGTGGGGCTAGCTACATTCTTTCTGTTGTTGTCGTGGTATCACAACAATGGAATCTTATCTCAATGGATGCATTCTTGTGACGATTGACCTTCACACTTGTCAGACGTTACTTAACCAAAAAAGACTTAAAGGCCAACTATCAGTAGAGGGAGAAGTCATATCCTCTCACGATTTAGACTCATTTGTCTAATTAGTGCATTGTCCCTATTTAGTTAGGGTTATCACAAACGGATAGATCACCCGGGAAGATTCGGAGTAGAATTGGTCTTCAGCAACCAATACTTGCCGTAAAAAGCGGCTATGCTTGTCAAAAGAGACGACTAACGGGATCGGATTGTCAGACTCACTGACTTGGTTGATTCATGCCATCCTATCCCAATCAAGTGGATCGATGTCAATCACTGTATTGTCTTGTCCAGACTCGATTATTTACAGACCGCCGCCATATAACTGGCATATTGCTGAGTGTGGCGTTAAACAACAAACCAACAAAACAAACAAATAGTACAGATCATACACATCTGGGACAACAAAGTAACGACTCGATTTGTGTTCACCCGGACCGTCATTCTTCCTGATTATAAGCCCCTTTTTAAAACCAGTAATACAAATATGGCTGGGGAGTGTGTTCTAATTCATCTTTTTGTAAAGTTAAACAATTATAAAAGAACCCTTGATTCGAAAGTACCACGTGCATGTGATATCTTGTGGCACCGGAGTATACATGAATTGTTGGGTCTAATGCCATGAGACAACGTCTAGGGTACCCTGCGAATCTGACAAACCAATTGTCAAGACCCAAAACATTTGTACTTAATAGATCACCACATTTGAGTTCAAACATTCCGATGATTTTCATTGCTGAGGATTTAGGGGCGGGCCTTTTTATGGTCAGACGGGTCATGAAAATGAAGACATAACTTTTCATAAAACCAAAGAATCATGGCCTGGCGAGGACAGTTGTGTTGTGCTGATATTCTAGGCCTTGGTGAAACGATATGTCAGATTATAAATTTAACAACTGGTAATTTGCATTTGGAAATAGGAATTTAGAACTTTAAATGATCTCCATATCGCCTGGTATTTCCACGTTTTCCATACGTAGACAGGGATACAAAAGGGATCTTTCACAATAATCAGAAAATCACGCCTAAGCGACTCATCAGAGTGTGACTGCAATAACCTAGCTTAACACCTGCAAGGTCTCCAATAATCTACAGTGGGTGAATGAGACGACTAAATTGATTGATTGTGTACTGATTACAACATTGTACTGTTCTGTCTGGTCCAGAATGGATTATTACAGGCCGCCGAGGTATTGCTGGAATATTGCCGAGTGCGACGTAAAACAATAATCACACAAACCAACAGGTGAGTGCAACACTACTGCTGACACAGTTAAACGCATTTGCTGTATTTTAGATGTTTGTCAAAACCCACGGAAAGGCGTATTCACGTCTCTTCTATCGTATAAAATAATCCCATAGAATGGCATCTAACTTTGCCGTAGCACATTCAATAAGTGGATGCGATTTTCATGCCGCCGTCAGCAAAATTACAGGTACATTTAACACCCTGTCAATAATAGAGTCTGGACGAAACAAGTCACAGGTTGAAGTAAGATCATCGATCAACTGTCAAGTATGATGGTACTTAAGCGCCGCAATTGCTTTGAATATATCTTATATTAACATAGACGTACAACAGTCGTATCAATGTGATCGCTTTCTGAAGCTCACATACTACAATAATTGTTTTGCGGGATATTACTAGAGGTAATCTCTGTGAGGGTACGGGTCTCAAAACATGCAGTGGTGTTATGTTATCAAACCTGCACCAGCAAGTGTTGCCAATGACAGAATTGTTTGTTTGCTTGTTTGTTGTTTATGGACGCACGCTGTAATATTCCTGATACACGACCTTTACATAATGGAGTCTGGAGCAGATATTCCAGTGATCGCCATTGCGGAACGTTGATAAGCAAACAACAATGTCCCCCATACAGAGAAGATAAATGATAATATATCTTGCAGAATAAATATTTAGTTCTAATTTCTATAGTTGTAATACCGATCTATAAATAATCAAAGATTGGAAGACCCTTGGATAATGACGAGTGTTCTTGGGAAATGCTAAAAAAAAAAAAAAAAATTGCAAGCAAATTCCAAAAAAAACAGTGAAAGGACTTTAATCTTTGGTGCATTTGTGGTTAAGAAGTTTATTGCAGACAGCAGTAGAAGCCTAAGTGCTCTCCCTTTGATCATTTGATGCACTTGGGAGAAAATAACCCACTTACACGTTACTGTACTGTAGATTACTGCGATAAGAATAAAGTACTGGTCATGGAGAACTGTCACACTGAGTAATTATAACAAAACTTCGCATACACCAGTGTAAGGGTTTACAGTGCTGACATTACAATCAGTATTGGCATTTCTTTTCACATCACTATATGCGTGGAACACACGTCAAATATTCACACGCCTAAATTCTTCCAAACAGTAACATGACAACATCACACCATCAATATTCAAACATAACAGTTAAGTATATATTGATAGGTGGCTCTTTTTAGGACATGCAAATCTACTGTGTAAATGTCGCCAGCATAGCCAGATCTTGAAAGTCCTATGTAGGTCAATCGTAGTGTATCAGTGAGTCAATAACTGCCAGACCTGTCACAGCTGCACAACCGGAGTCATTTCATTTATTATAAGAACGTGTGCCATGATAGAATACGAATAATCCTCATTCCTCCAAGTGTTTCACGTTACCCGCAAACAATGAAGAGCTTCGCCATCTGCTAATTACCAGACCTGTACCATGGCAATGCAGGTCAGTACAGCGCAGACTGTTATTCAGTGAAGGACATGTCATCCGATGTTTGCCCAGCTTCCACGTCAGCAAGATGTTCCCCCTGAATGATGCTCCTCGAGTCTCAACTAACACATTCATCTGAATGTGGATGTTTTACATGTGGAGCAACCACACTAAACGGTATCATTTGTATGCATTATTAAATGTGAGTATGAACCTTCATTGAGTGAGGATCAAAGTGTATGAACGTCGGAGCTTGCGGCTACAGCGCGTTTTAATACAACTTGAAGTCATTTACATCAAGACGTCAAAATGGCCGACACTATAAACGTGACGGGAACGATTTCCCGCGTTTTTGCGATTACAAGTGTTAGTCATCATTGATCATTTGGCCGATCATTAAAAGCTGGTTGTAAAGACGTGTTACCTAAATACTAAGATAAATTCATTGATTGGTGTAGACTGTAAATGTCTGCCTGGACACGGATCGAGGCGATACCAAAATATTTTGGATGTGCATTTCTTCGTTTCCTTCACTAGGATGGGTTGTAGCGATATTATTTGTGAACGATCGCGCATTCATGCATTCAATCTCTCTGACTTTTCTCAATGTATGCTAAAACACTGAGTCCAAGATTCAAGAGTCATGATCAGTAATAGTCTGTGTGTATTCGCCCCAGGGAATTCCCATTGGTTTTCCCAGGAATATGGAAATAAGCCGTCAGTGTTTTCGTCTTTTCAAGAATATACCCTCGTGAAAAACATACAAACGGCAAATTGTGTTGTTCATACGTCAGTTTCGCGATCATGTGACCGACCTCTCGTCCAATAGAAAAGCGGTATTTCGTGTGAACTTCACATTAAAAAAGTAACTAATAATAAACTTTAAAAATTAAAGTCGAACCTCGTTATCTTAAACGCCGAATGTACCGATATCTCGAACCTATCCACTGGCTCCGACCGCCTCGATCACTCTATAATATTATATATGATAAATGACAACAGCCACATGTAATCATTCGGTGCGAGACACCGATCCCTGCCAATCGAAGGGAAATACGTACTCAAGGGTGGACAGAAGACGATCTATTCAGTTTTAATTGCATTAGCTTATGTCTCAGCCCACATGACTAATCCATATAACTCCTCCTCTCGTATGTAAGTTTAAAGCTTGTCTTTTCAATTGCGATACTTCGGTACCTATATCACATACAAAAATTAACGACAGCTCGCTGCCTTGCTGTCAATAAGTTGAATGCACAGTTGCTGCGGACTAAATATAAACGACAATAAATTATGTCTTCCAATAACAATTGTGGTGTGCATAACAGCTATTTGGGCCATAACCTCCCACTGACATGCACAAAGGAAAGAATAACTCAGACGTCAGTTGGTAAACATTACATGGCCTTCGTTTTAATCAATTGTCATTAAGGGAATATATAGGTAACTATATATTCGGATGTCACTAACCTGACTGGTAGTGCCACAAGGTGGGGCATCATCCAACTCGCTATATCTGTAAGTAAACATAAATAGAGCAAAGATATCTCATTAACTCGAACTATAAAGACTCATAAATCTCCAGGCAGAATGTGTATCAACACTTGATTGATATTCGATTTGAACTACGTACATCTACATTTTGTTCGATGGTTCTGTTGACTTCGAATAAACAAAGTTTCACTGTATATTGATTATAATTTCATTTCATCTCTACAAAATATATCTCATTTTGCTTTTTGACTATTTTAATATTATCATATCAACGTTAAATGCGTTACAAATTTCATGTAATTTTCTGTGAATTATGATACGTCCAAACATCTGGAAGATTAATTAACCTAAGACAGATTACCCATGTTTCATCTTAGCTCGTAGGTTACATGTATGTTCCCTCCGAAAGATGAACAACATCCATACTACCCTACAGAATAATAAACGTATTGTAGTTTTAACTGTTGTTGGAAGGATCTACTTCGGTTCACTATATATAATCATTTAGTTACTTGCTGACACTGATTGTGTTTTGAATGTACAATGCAGAATGCATGTAATAATAAAAAACATTTTACCAATTTCAGAAATAACGGACTAACAATGAACGGCCGTTGTCTTTTACTCATAGTACTTCTCGTACAGTCAGCATGCTATTACCAGTTGGGGGCAGGTTGGTATATGTCGTTGAATTCATATAATACAATTCATTAGATGATCAATCAAACTTAATGTAAAGACATAACATGTGCAGCCTTAAGTCGTCTTGTGAGTTGCAACTCCGGTACCTGATAATACGCATGCCCGCATCATTTCTTGGTTACTATATGTAACATGTTGGATTGTGTGTAACAGTTCGAGCAAGGAATGTGACTCATGCGTACAGTAAACTACGATTATAACCAACTCAAAGAGACCACTAATTTTAATTCATTTTCGACGTAGTTCGTTATAAGCATGTGCACAACATATATGAAGCAAAAGGAGGGGACCCAAACACAGTTCGTTACATCCGTCACTTCGTTATAAGGGTGTTCGTTATTAACGTAGTTTACTGTACACGGTGTTGAGAGAATGAACATACTTTATGGAGTGAGTGAGGTGCACATTTTACGGTGAAGTCAGGAATAGTCTAGTATTGTCTATTGAGCGTGTAAATAAAGATTAACAAGCTTGACCCCCTGATCCAATTAGTCTTCTCTCATTAATGATGTGCTGAGTCCCTCTTCTTTAACCTACGGTTTTTTGTTAAGTTTGACATTGTTTTAAGTTTGGAAAGCGCTTGAAGCTTCAGTGAATGTCTGGGATGCACATAGACGAGGAAACCTGAAATCTAATATATGTTGTATGTTGTAGGCACTCTACCGAGCCACGACCACATGGTAGAACCTGAGACTACCACAACAGAGGCTGTTACTGATCCCGTCACCACCACTACGGAACATGAACCTTATGATAATGATCAATGACCAGCTGTATACATTCTTCTGAAAGACACTGATCTCATTACCATACACCCCAGTGATGGAACACATTGACATTTTACCACCCCTTTCAAAGGACATTTTCAGTTTTAATAAGAAATATGTTCACATTAACAATGACATGATCAATACATCAGTGCAGGAAACGCACTTATAAGTGGGAAGAACACGAAGACAAGAAACTTTTATCAGGGACAACTGCGTCACAGAATCACTTTGAAGCACTACATTTACAATAAATAAACGGTTATAGGGCAACCATTGACGAATGTTGTCAACTCATCGCTTACATATCTATCTTGAAACAAAATGTGTATTCTAGAACACATTAAAAAGTAAATAAAGAGATGACTTATATGTTTACATTTGTGTAATAAAGTTGTGTACTACCAAAGATCAATATTATGAATATGATGCAAAATAAATAAAGCTTCAGTTATTCTAGCCTGGTGTCCCTTGTCCTTTCTGGTTCTTCAAGATAACGAGAATCAGATATGTCTTCACATTTGGCATAATGTTTTCAATGGATTTTTGCAAGCTAATCTTAAGGTGGATAACTAATAGTCTATCTATCCGTTACATGTGATGTTTGTTTGAGTGAGGTCAAGGTTTCGTTCAAATGTTTTAGACACTTGGAATCAAAATGTTCTTTTACCTATAATTAGGGACTGATTAATTGTTTCTTAAATACAACGCGATTCTTTTGACCAGAATGTAAGTATAGTAACCCTCCTTCCTGGTGTTTTCTTTCTAAAAAGTATTATACAAATTTGCAAATTCGCTTTGTAGAGTTGGGTCCTTTGGGCGCGCCAGGATGCTATGTTCCAGGAAACGAAACCCAAAATAGCCCTGATTGAGAACCTTGATGTTTCAGCACCACATTGTCTTCGTTGGTTTCACCAAATAGATAAACGTCCTCGACTACCACCTCTTTGGGCTTGTTCCCTCATGATGGTGATACGGGGCTATATGACTCGTTCACTCCTGATACCATAGACGGTAGTGTCTGCCAAAAAGACCGATGTAATATACATGCAAATGAGCTTCAAAATACACACATCTTTGCAGATAATTCTACCATAGCGACTAAACAATTATCCAATGGGGCACATTCGTCTTTTCAATAACTTTACACTCTCTTTTGTGATACTGTTTTCAATCTCCTAAAATTGTTAAATATTCTTCAACATTTCTGTGAAACCTATAAATTGTCGGTCAATATGTCTAAGACTAAAATTGTAGTTTTGTGAAATGGTTCAATAAAGGCAATGTAGTTGAAGTAGTTGCCAAGAAGGTATGGATACATATTTTGAGAAGTTTACATTCGTTGCAACCGTTTTCACCAGATTTCTGTTTCAGATTCCGGGTTAGAACCTTCAGCAATCGTTGCTTGTCGTAAGAGGCGACTAACGGGATCGGGTGGTCAAGCTCGCTGACTTGGTTGATGCATTTCATCGTATCCCAACTGCGTAGATTGATGCTCATCATGTCGATCACTGGATTGTCTGGTCCAGATTCAATTACTTACAGACCACCGTCACATAGCTGGAATAGTGCGGCGTTAAACAACAAACAAAAAACAAACAAACATCATAATTCTTCTTCAAAATCTTAGAGGCAAAGAAAATGCCAGTACTCTTGTATGGTGCGGAAGTTTGGGGGTTCGAAAAGGTAGACAAGTTGGATAAGGTAGGCATGTTAACGGTTTTTTAATCTAAACCTGTCTGCCTCGAACAGCGCAGTGTCAGGTGAGTGTGGTAGATACCCCATTCATGTATATGCTGTGACAAGATATGTAAAGTAGTGGTTAAATATTTTGACAATGCCCTAGTGTCGTTTACAAAATAATCGTATGATATGATGTGCTTGCATGATGAGCAAGGCCGGGTAATTTGGGTTACAAAGGTAAGAAATTGTCTGTGTAGGTTAGGATTTGTATAATTATGTTTATGTCAAATGTATGGTAGAAAATGTATTTCTAAATTATATATTTCAGCAACGTTTAAAGGACAATTTCCAACATATATGGCACAGTGATTTAAATGTCAAAAATGTTTAATTATGCAATATGTAATGTTTCTATAAATTGTGAAAACTATTTGAACCTCATAACATAAAGTAAGGCTAAGAATCTATGGATGAACAACTTTTTTATTACAGTCAAGAGCGCCGTTTCGGTGTAGGTTCTAACACAGTTATCAAGCAAGTGATGACTTGCTTGATAACGGTGGTAGAACCTACACTAAAACGTCGCTCTTAACTGTAATAAAGACGTTGTTCATCCATAAATTCTTATCCTTACGTAGTACTCAAACTTCTAAATGCCTTTCAAAGAACTCATAACATAAAGCCAATTCAAAATTACTTTTCGTTTAAGTTGTCACTACCTGGAAATTGAGCGTGGGAGTCACTTCATTATACAGTAAACTACGGTTATATCGAACTCAAAAGGACCACACATTTTAGTTCGTAATAACCGCAGTTCGTTATAAGCATATATGCAACAAATGGATGGGATTTAAATATAGGTTCGTTATATCGGTCAGTTTGTTATATGCGTGTTCGTTATAAACGTTGTTTACTGTACCTAGAAATTTAAGAAAATGTAAACTTTGTAACTTAAATTCCATTCTCTTTAACTGAAGTTTTATCTTAATCCTAACATCCACACATTTAACATTTTGATATCATCGCCAAACTCTAACATCATTAAAAACCTAGGAAATATTTGTACTACGCTTATATGTAAAGAAATATAATATAAAGTTAACTGTTATTTCTGTACCATAACGTTTGTACATAAAGGCCTAAGACCTTAAAGTACCGAAATATATTGACTGACAACTTTTAGAACACCAATAGTACACAGACAAAGCTACACGTCACCGAAGTTGTGTATGACGAAGACGATTACTTGAGTAGGCGGGTCAACATCTTTATTGACGACTATACGTTGGTAGTATGCTCTTGTAGGTTCATAAGCTCGAACGGCTTCACTTCATGTATTTAATTTATGTACCTTACAAATGTCTTTGCCATGTAATCGATTCTTTTATATGCTCACACACGTTAAGGAGCCCCTAGAACGACTATATAATACGGTCTTACAATGACAAATGTGTCCAATACTGTATCAGTCACGACTTTATGCACATGTATACACGTCACTTAGTCTACAAATGTACTAGTTGCACCTACTTTGATGATAGAATAGCATACATCAAACGTATTTGTGACATCAGGAACACAGAATAGGATTTTATGGACGTCAGGTTGGGTTTTATGCCGTGTTGAACAGTACAGTCAAACACAGTTGTGTCGAAGTTCAAGGGTCGGGTGATGGTCATGTGTGATGGTTTGCACAGTAGCAAGTCAACAACACAATAGACACCTGTACAGGTACCACCTACCAATGTTATCCCACTCATGTATACTTGTTGTTACTGTTAATCCGCTACTGTTAATCCTCCACCTACTATATATATTCTGTACTATGTCCCTCATTCTGTCTTGCTTGACAACGGTATAAGGATCTATACCGAAACGTCGCTTTTCACAGTATTAAAGAAGTTGTTATCCATAACAATTGTGTCTATCTTGTAAATACATTCACACTAAATGAGTATATGCTCATATTGTAGAACATCATAATGTATTGACATGGGAAAACAGTTGATAATTGAACAGTCACGGTCCATTTCTGGATTCACAATGTTGTTAGCTGTACTGCACGGACTTCTGCATAAAACTTCATCATAAGACGTACTGGTATTGATTTGTTTTGACACAGGTAACACATCGTAGCAACATGTGTGATATTCAGATACAACGTTGTCATTCAACGCGGCTGCCAGGTACTGATGCGGTCGTATAATATGTTACAGTGTGTATTCCCCAGTGGGGCTACCTACATTCTTTCTGTTGTTGTCGTGGTATCACAACAATGGAATCTTATCTCAATGGATGCATTCTTGTGACGATTGACCTTCACACTTGTCAGACGTAACTTAACTAAAAAGACTTAAAGGCTTACTATCAGTAGAGGGAGAAGTCATATCCTGTCTCGATTTAGACTCATTTGTCTAATTAGTGCATTGTCTCTATTTAGTTAGGGTTATCACAAACGGATAGATCACCCGGGAAGATTCGGAGTAGAATTTGTCTTCAGCAATCCATGCTTGCCGTAAATAGCGGCTATGCTTGTCGGAAGAGGCGACTACCGATTATTTACAGACCGCCGCCATATACCTGGGATATTGCTGAGTGTGACGTTAATCAACAAAGCAACAAAAAAAAACAAATAGTACAGATCATACATATCTGGGACAACAAAGTAACGACTCGATTTGTGTTGACCCGGACCGTCATTCTTACTGTTATAAGCCCCTTTTTAAAACCAGTAATACAAATATGGCTGGGGAGTGTGTTCTAATTCATCTTTTTGTAAAGTTAAACAATTATAAAAGAACACTTGACTCGAAAGTACCACATGTGTGTGATATCTTGTGGCACCGGAGTATACATGAATTGTTGGGTCTAATGCCATGAGACAACGTCTAGGGTACCCTGAGAATCTGACAAACTTATTGTCAAGACCCAAAACATTTGTACTTAATAGATCACCACATTTGAGTTCTAACATTCCGATGATTTTCATTGCTGAGGATTTAGGGGCGGGCCTTTTTATGGTCAGACGGGTCATGAAAATGAAGACATAACTTTTCATAAAACCAAAGAATCATGGCCTGGCGAGGACCTAGCTGTGTTGTGCTGATATTCTAGGCCTTGGTGAAACGATATGTCAGATTATAAATTTAACAACTGGTAATTTGCATTTGGAAATAGGAATTTAGAACTTTAAATGATCTCCATATCGCCTGGTATTTTCACGTTTTCCATACGTAGACACGGATACAAAAGGGATCTTTCACAATAATCAGAAAATCACGCCTAAGCGACTCATCAGAGTGTGACTGCAATAACCTAGCTTAACACCTGCAAGGTCTCCAATAATCTACAGTGGGTGAATGAGACGACTAAATTGATTGATTGTGTACTGATTACAACATTGTACTGTTCTGTCTGGTCCAGAATGGATTATTACAGGCCGCCGAGGTATTGCTGGAATATTGCCGAGTGCGACGTAAAACAATAACCACACAAACCAACAGGTGAGTGCAACACTACTGCTGACACAGTTAAACGCATTTACTGTATTTTAGATGTTTGTCAAAACACACGGAAAGGCGTATTCACGTCTCTTCTATCGTATAAAATAATCCCATAGAATGGCATCTAACTTTGCCGTAGCACATTCAATAAGTGGATGCGATTTTCATGCCGCCGTCAGCAAAATTACAGGTACATTTAACACCCTGTCAATAATAGAGTCTGGACGAAACAAGTCACAGGTTGAAGTAAGATCATCGATCAACTGTCAAGTATGATGGTACTTAAGCGCCGCCATTGCTTTGAATATATCTTATATTAACATAGACGTACAACAGTCGTATCAATGTGATCGCTTTCTGAAGCTCACATACTACAATAATTGTTTTGCGGGATATTACTAGAGGTAATCTCTGTGAGGGTACGGGTCTCAAAACATGCAGTGGTGTTATGTTATCAAACCTGCACCAGCAAGTGTTGCCAATGACAGAATTGTTTGTTTGCTTGTTTGTTGTTTATGGACGCACGCTGTAATTTTCCTGATACACGACCTTTAGATAATGGAGTCTGGAGCAGATATTCCAGTGATCGCCATTGCGGAACGTTGATAAGCAAACAACAATGTCCCCCATACAGAGAAGATAAATGATAATATATCTTGCAGAATAAATACTTAGTTCTAATTTCTATAGTTGTAATACCGATCTATAAATAATCAAAGATTGGAAGACCCTTGGATAAGTAACGAGTGTTCTTAGGAAATGCTAAAAAAAACAAAAAAACTTGCAAGCAAATTCCAAAAAAAACAGTGAAAGGACTTTAATCTTTGGTGCATTTGTGGTTAAGAAGTTTATTGCAGACAGCAGTGGAAGCCTAAGTGCTCTCCCTTTGATCATTTGATGCACTTGGGAGAAAATAACCCACTTACACGTTACTGTACTGTAGATTACTGCGATAAGAATAAAGTACTGGTCATGGAGAACTGTCACACTGAGTAATTATAACAAAACTTCGCATACACCAGTGTAAGGGTTTACAGTGCTGACATTACAATCAGTATTGGCATTTCTTTTCACATCACTATATGCGTTGAACACACGTCAAATATTCACACGCCTAAATTCTTCCAAACAGTAACATGACAACATCACACCATCAATATTCAAACATAACAGTTAAGTATATATTGATAGGTGGCTCTTTTTAGGACATGCAAATCTACTGTGTAAATATCGCCAGCATAGCCAGATCTTGAAAGTCCTATGTAGGTCAATCGTAGTGTATCAGTGAGTCAATAACTGCCAGACCTGTCACAGCTGCACAACCGGAGTAATTTCATTTATTATAAGAACGTGTGCCATGATAGAATACGAATAATCTTCATTCCTCCAAGTGTTTCACGTTACCCGCAAACAATGAAGAGCTTCGCCATCTGCTAATTAGCAGACCTGTACCATGGCAATGCAGGTCAGTACAGCGCAGACTGTTATTCAGTGAAGGACATGTCATCCGATGTTTGCCCAGCTTCCACGTCAGCAAGATGTTCCCCCTGAATGATGCTCCTCGAGTCTAAACTAACACATTCATCTGAATGTGGATGTTTTACATGTGGTGCAACCACACTAAACGGTATCATTTGTATGCATTATTAAATGTGAGTATGAACCTTCATTGAGTGAGGATCAAAGTGTATGAACGTCGGAGCTTGCGGCTACAGCGCGTTTTAATACAACTTGAAGTCATTTACATCAAGACGTCAAAATGGCCGACACTATAAACGTGACGGGAACGATTTCCCGCGTTTTTGCGATTACAAGTGTTAGTCATCATTGATCATTTGGCCGATCATTAAAAGCTGGTTGTAAAGACGTGTTACCTAAATACTAAGATAAATTCATTGATTGGTGTAGACTGTAAATGTCTGCCTGGACACGGATCGAGGCGATACCAAAATATTTTGGATGTGCATTTCTTCGTTTCCTTCACTAGGATGGGTTGTAGCGATATTATTTGTGAACGATCGCGCATTCATGCATTCAATCTCTCTGACTTTTCTCAATGTATGCTAAAACACTGAGTCCGGTCCAAGATTCAAGGGTCATGATCAGTAATAGTCTGTGTGTATTCGCCCCAGGGAATTCCCATTGGTTTTCCCAGGAATATGGAAATAAGCCGTCAGTGTTTTCGTCTTTTCAAGAATATACCCTCGTCAAAAACATACAAACGTCAAATTGTGTTGTTCATACGTCAGTTTCGCGATCATGTGACCGACCTCTCGTCCAATAGAAAAGCGGTATTTCGTGTGAACTTCACATTAAAAAAGTAACTAATAATAAACTTTAAAAATTAAAGTCGAACCTCGTTATCTTAAACGCCGAATGTACCGATATCTCGAACCTATCCACTGGCTCCGACCGCCTCACACTCTATAATATTATATATGATAAATGACAACAGCCACATGTAATCATTCGGTGCGAGACACCGATCCCTGCAAATCGAAGGGAAATACGTACTCAAGGGTGGACAGAAGACGATCTATTCAGTTTTAATCGCATTAGCTTATGTCTCAGCCCACATGACTAATCCATATAACTCCTCTCGTATGTAAGTTTAAAGCTTGTCTTTTCAATTGCGATACTTCGGTACCTATATCACATACAAAAATTAACGACAGCTCGCTGCCTTGCTGTCAATAAGTTGAATGCACAGTTGCTGCGGAATAAATATAAACGACAATAAATTATGTCTTCCAATAACAATTGTGGTGTGCATTACAGCTATTTGGGCCATAACCTCCCACTGACATGCACAAAGGAAAGAATAACTCAGACGTCAGTTGGTAAACATTACATGGCCTTCGTTTTAATCAATTGTCATTAAGGGAATATATAGGTAACTATATATTCGGATTTCACTAACCTGACTGGTAGTGCCACAAGGTGGGGTATCATCCAACTCGCTATATCTGTAAGTAAACATAAATAGAGCAAAGATATTTCATTAACTCGAACTATAAAGACTCATAAATCTCCAGGCAGAATGTGTATCAACACTTGATTGATATTCGATTTGAACTACGTACATCTACATTTTGTTCGATGGTTCTGTTGACTTCGAATAAACAAAGTTTCACTGTATATGTATCATAATTTCATTTCATCTCTACAAAATATATCTCATTTTGCTTTTTGACTATTTTAATATTATCATATCAACGTTAAATGCGTTACAAATTTCATGTAATTTTCTGTGAATTATGATACGTCCAAACATCTGGAAGATTAATTAACCTAAGACAGATTACCCATGTTTCATCTTAGCTCGTAGGTTACATGTATGTTCCCTCCGAAAGATGAACAACATCCATACTACCCTACAGAATAATAAACGTATTGTAGTTTTAACTGTTGTTGGAAGGATCTACTTCGGTTCACTATATATAATCATTTAGTTACTTGCTGAGACCGATTGTGTTTTGAATGTACAATGCAGAATGCATGTAATAATAAAAAACATTTTACCAATTTCAGAAATAACGGACTAACAATGAACGGCCGTTGTCTTTTACTCATAGTACTTCTCGTACAGTCAGCATGCTATTACCAGTTGGGGGCAGGTTGGTATATGTCGTTGAATTCATATAATACAATTGATTAGATGATCAATCAACTTCATGTAAAGACATAACATGTGCAGCCTTAAGTCGTCTTGTGAGTTGCAACTCCGGTACCTGATAATACGCATGCCCGCATCATTTCTTGGTTACTATATGTAACATGTTGGATTGTGTGTAACAGTTCGAGCAAGGAATGTGACTCATGCGTACAGTAAACTACGATTATAACCAACTCAAAGAGACCACTAATTTTAATTCATTTTCGGCGTAGTTCGTTATAAGCATGTGCACAACATATATGCAGCAAAAGGAGGGGACCCAAACACAGTTCGTTACATCCATCACTTCGTTATAAGGGTGTTCGTTATTAACGTAGTTTACTGTACACGGTGTTGAGAGAATGAACATACTTTATGGGGTGAGTGAGGTGCACATTTTACGGTGAAGTCAGGAATAGTCTAGTATTGTCTATTGAGCGTGTAAATAAAGATTAACAAGCTTGACCTCCTGATCCAATTAGTCTTCTCTCATTAATGATGTGCTGAGTCCCTCTTCTTTAACCTACGGTTTTTTTGTTAAGTTTGACATTGTTTTAAGTTTGGAAAGCGCTTGAAGCTTCAGTGAATGTCTGGGATGCACATAGATGAGGAAACCTGAAATCTAATATATGTTGTATGTTGTAGGCACTCTACCGAGCCACGACCACATGGTAGAACCTGAGACTACAACAACAGAGGCTGTTACTGATCCCGTCACCACCACTACGGAACATGAACCTTATGATAATGATCAATGACCAGCTGTATACATTCTTCTGAAAGACACTGATCTCATTACCATACACCCCAGTGATGGAACACATTGACATTTTACCACCCCTTTCAAAGGACATTTTCAGTTTTAATAAGAAATATGTTCACATTAACAATGACATGATCAATACATCAGTGCAGGAAACGCACTTAGAAGTGGGAAGAACACGAAGACAAGAAACTTTTATCAGGGACAACTGCGTCACAGAATCACTTTGAAGCCCTACATTTACAATAAATAAACGGTTATAGGGCAACCATTGACGAATGTTGTCAACTCATCGCTTACATATCTATCTTGAAACAAAATGTGTATTCTAGAACACATTAAAAAGTAAATAAAGAGATGACTTATATGTTTACATTTGTGTAATAAAGTTGTGTACTACCAAAGATCAATATTATGAATATGATGCAAAATAAATAAAGCTTCAGTTATTCTAGCCTGGTGTCCCTTGTCCTTTCTGGTTCTTCAAGATAACGAGAATCAGATATGTCTTCACATTTGGCATAATGTTTTCAATGGATTTTTGCAAGCTAATCTTAAGGTGGATAACTAATAGTCTATCTATCCGTTACATGTGATGTTTGTTTGAGTGAGGTCAAGATTTCGTTCAAATGTTTTAGACACTTGGAATCAAAATGTTCTTTTACCTATAATTAGGGACTGATTAATTGTTTCTTAAATACAACGCGATTCTTTTGACCAGAATGTAAGTATAGTAACCCTCCTTCCTGGTGTTTTCTTTCTAAAAAGTATTATACAAATTTGCAAATTCGCTTTGTAGAGTTGGGTCCTTTGGGCGCGCCAGGATGCTATGTTCCAGGAAACGAAACCCAAAATAGCCCTGATTGAGAACCTTGATGTTTCAGCACCACATTGTCTTCGTTGGTTTCACCAAATAGATAAACGTCCTCGACTACCACCTCTTTGGGCTTGTTCCCTCATGATGGTGATACGGGGCTATATGACTCGTTCACTCCTGATACCATAGACGGTAGTGTCTGCCAAAAAGACCGATGTAATATACATGCAAATGAGCTTCAAAATACACACATCTTTGCAGATAATTCTACCATAGCGACTAAACAATTATCCAATGGGGCACATTCGTCTTTTCAATAACTTTACACTCTCTTTTGTGATACTGTTTTCAATCTCCTAAAATTGTTAAATATTCTTCAACATTTCTGTGAAACCTATAAATTGTCGGTCAATATGTCTAAGACTAAAATTGTAGTTTTGTGAAATGGTTCAATAAAGGCAATGTAGTTGAAGTAGTTGCCAAGAAGGTATGGATACATATTTTGAGAAGTTTACATTCGTTGCAACCGTTTTCACCAGATTTCTGTTTCAGATTCCGGGTTAGAACCTTCAGCAATCGTTGCTTGTCGTAAGAGGCGACTAACGGGATCGGGTGGTCAAGCTCGCTGACTTGGTTGATGCATTTCATCGTATCCCAACTGCGTAGATTGATGCTCATCATGTCGATCACTGGATTGTCTGGTCCAGATTCAATTACTTACAGACCACCGTCACATAGCTGGAATAGTGCGGCGTTAAACAACAAACAAAAAACAAACAAACATCATAATTCTTCTTCAAAATCTTAGAGGCAAAGAAAATGCCAGTACTCTTGTATGGTGCGGAAGTTTGGGGGTTCGAAAATGTAGACAAGTTGGATAAGGTAGGCATGTTAACGGTTTTTTAATCTAAACCTGTCTGCCTCGAACAGCGCAGTGTCAGGTGAGTGTGGTAGATACCCAATCATGTATATGCTGTGACAAGATATGTAAAGTAGTGGTTAAATATTTTGACAATGCCCTAGTGTCGTTTACAAAATAATCGTATGATATGATGTGCTTGTATGATGAGCAAGGCCGGGTAATTTGGGTTACAAAGGTAAGAAATTGTCTGTGTAGGTAAGGATTTGTATAATTATGGTTATGTCAAATGTATGGTAGAAAATGTATTTCTAAATTATATATTTCAGCAACGTTTAAAGGACAATTTCCAACATATATGGCACAGTGATTTAAATGTCAAAAATGTTTAATTATGCAATATGTAATGTTTCTATAAATTGTGAAAACTATTTGAACCTCATAACATAAAGTAAGGCTAAGAATTTATGGATGAACAACTTTTCTATTACAGTTAAGAGCGCCGTTTCGGTGTAGGTTCTAACACAGTTATCAAGCAAGTGATGACTTGCTTGATAACGGTGGTAGAAACTACACCAAAACGTCGCTCTTAACTGTAATAAAGACGTTGTTCATCCATAAATTCTTAGCCTTACTTAGTACTCAAACTTCTAAATGCCTTTCAAAGAACTCATAACATAAAGCCAATTCAAAATTGCTTTTCGTTTAAGTTGTCACTACCTGGAAATTGAGCGTGGGAGTCACTTCATTATACAGTAAACTACGGTTATATCGAACTCAAAAGGACCACACATTTTAGTTCGTAATAACCGCAGTTCGTTATAAGCATATATGCAACAAATGGATGGGATTTAAATATAGGTTCGTTATATCGGTCAGTTTGTTATATGCGTGTTCGTTATAAACGTTGTTTACTGTACCTAGAAATTTAAGAAAATGTAAACTTTGTAACTTAAATTCCATTCTCTTTAACTGAAGTTTTATCTTCATCCTAACATCCACACATTTAACATTTTGATATCATCGCCACACTCTAACATCATTAAAAACCTAGGAAATATTTGTACTACGCTTATATGTAAAGAAATATAATATAAAGTTAACTGTAATTTCTGTACCATAACGTTTGTACATAAATGCTTAGACCTTAAAGTACCGAAATATATTGACTGACAACTTTTAGAACACCAATAGTACACAGACAAAGCTACACGTCACCGAAGTTGTGTATGACGAAGACGATTACTTGAGTAGGCGGGTCAACATCTTTATTGACGACTATACGTTGGTAGTATGCTCTTGTAGGTTCATAAGCTCGAACGGCTTCACTTCATGTATTTAATTTATGTACCTTACAAATGTCTTTGCCATGTAATCGATTCTTTTATATGCTCACACACGTTAAGGAGCCCCTAGAACGACTATATAATACGGTCGTACAATGACAAATGTGTCCAATACTGTATCAGTCACGACTTTATGCACATGTATACACGTCACTTAGTCTACAAATGCACTAGTTGCACCTACTTTGATGATAGAATAGCATACATCAAACGTATTTGTGACATCAGGAGCACAGAATAGGATTTTATGGACGTCAGGTTGGGTTTCATGCCGTGTTGAACAGTACAGTCAAACACAGTTGTGTCGAAGTTCAAGGGTCGGGTATCCGAGCTTCGACACAACCGAAAGTGATGAATTAAGAAGGCATATGCAGGGTCCAAGCTTTTACTTCGAGACAACCGTAAGTGAGAAGCATCAAAGTTCGACACAACGGTGGTTGACTGATTGTATATAATGTCATCTTCATGTGTGAAGGAAACTCTAAAACGATGAAAACGAATGACAATAATCAGGGCGAGATTGGGATTCGAACCAATGGATCAATGAGGATAATGACAGGCTTAAGAAACTAACCGAAACATAATTAATCTTACCGTAAATGCTCCGAAAAAGTCATTTGTCCTGAGATTTTACAAACGCACAAGTTCTGAAGTTCTGAAGTTCTGAAATATAATGTTTGGATTCTCTTGTCAAAGAACAAAACTATATTGTTTGTAGCGCTCACAGAACGCAATTTTGCCTCAAACCAAAATTCCAGCGAAGGGAGTTGCTTCGGCTGACACGGGTCTTTTAAAATCTTTGCTTTATTGGTTGGTATGCATATCTGAAAACTGGGACGGGTGGGGGTGGGAGGTGGGTGATGTTATAGCCCAAGGGATACTACTGTAGCATTTGCCATAGGGATGCCCACACGAGATGTTTCTTAAGTTATCAGTAGTTATTGTTTCAGATATCCAGCTTCTCAAATCGGTTCCCCACTGTAAAAAAAGTTACTTGTCATAAATTATATACGATTCATGATTCTTGTTAAACATTTCACAACATGGAGTACTCTTGTCCCCAAGTCCATGAATTTAGCCATTTGATGATTTCGAACTAATAACCCTTTTTTCAAAATGAAATTATACAGTTAGGGTGTGGTGTGCTATTTGGGAATGTCCGACAGCTGGTTTTGTATGCACCGAACGATGTAATGTTAACGTATCTTTGTTCCCATCAGCAGTAGTTAGTGTTGTCGGGGAAAGCAGCATCGATCCAACATGTGTGATGGTTTGCACAGTAGCAAGTCAACAACACAATAGACACCTGTACAGGTACCACCTACCAATGTTATCCCACTCATGTATACTTGTTGTTACTTTTTATCCGCTACTGTTAATCCTCCACCTACTATAATAATTATATATATTCTGTACTATGTCCCTCATTCAGTCTTGCTTGACAACGGTATAAGGATCTACACCGAAACGTCGCTTAAATGAGTATATGCTCATATTGTGGAACATCATAATGTATTGACATGGGAAAACAGTTGATAATTGAACAGTCACCGTCCATTTCTGGATTCACAATGCTGTTAGCTGTACTGCCCGGACTGCATAAAACTTCATCATGGGAGTACTGGTATTGATTTGTTTTGACACAGGAAACACATCGTAGCATCATGTGTGATATTCAGACACAACGTTGTCATTCAACGCGGCTGCCAGGTACTGATATGCGGTCGTATAATATGATGTTACAGTGTGTATTCCCCAGTGGGGCTACCTACATTCTTTCTGTTGTTGTCGTGGTATCACAACAATGGAATCTTATCTTAATGGATGCATTCTTCTGACGATTGACCTTCACACTTGTCAGACGTAACTTAACCAAAAAAGACTTAAAGGCCAACTATCAGTAGAGGGAGAAGTCATATCCTCTCTCGATTTAGACTCATTTGTCTAATTAGTGCATTATCTCTATTTAGTTGGGGTTATCACAAACGGATAGATCACCCGGGAAGATTCGGAGTAGAATTGGTCTTCAGCAATCCATGCTTGCCGTAAATAGCGGCTATGCTTGTCGGAAGAGGCGACTACCGGGATCGGATGGTGAGGCTCACTGACTTGGTTGATTCATGCCATCCTATCCCAATCAAGTGGATCGATGCTCATGATGTCAATCACTGTATTGCCTTGTCCAGACTCGATTATTTACAGACCGCCGCCATATAACTGGCATATTGCTGAGTGTGGCGTTAAACAACAAACCAACAAAACAAACAAATAGTACAGATCATACACATCTGGGACAACAAAGTAACGACTCGATTTGTGTTCACCCGGACCGTCATTCTTCCTGATTATAAGCACCTTTTTAAAACCAGTAATACAAATATGGCTGGGGAGTGTGTTCTAATTCATCTATTTGTAAAGTTAAAC